AAAAAAAAAAAAAAAGAAATTCTAGTGAACACATTCAGTCGTTCCAACACCAAGCGCAGCAAGAAAATGGCAATGCTGGCAAACTGTAATTCCCACTGCCTGTAAGAACGGCCAAACACTAAGCCTTCTTTCTCAAAAGAGAGTGGATACATTCAAGTATTATGCGGGCATTAGAATGATTATATTATTTATTTTCATGTTCACAATATATGTAGACGTTTACAATATATTAAGTGAAAAATATGCAATGTTATGTTTCCATTTCTTTAAAAAATAAAAGACATATACATATAATCAGGTAGAAAAGTTTGAAAGGATATACACTGGGAATGGTAGTCAGTAGTTGCTGATGAGGAGAGATTTTTATTTTCTTTAGAACTTTTCCTATATTGTCTAAATGTTTTGTGATGAACATTGTCAATTTGTTTTTGTTTGAGACAGAGCCTTGTTACATAGTTCAGGCTGGCCTTGAACTAACTATGTAGCCCAGGATGATCCTGAACTTCCCAAGATCTGCCCACCTCAGCCTCCCAGAGTGCTGGGATTACAGGTGTGCACTACCACAACTGGCATATCCCTTTCAGATTAGGTAAACCAACAGATATTTCCAATCTGGAAAAAAATGTCACTGGGGATTAAATTATTTCAATAGCTTAGAAATATGATTCATCTGTTGCCAACCTTCTAGGGTCCTTTTAATGATAAAAGGACAAAGAACTAGTAAATATATTCCATAACTATACTGTGGACTACTGAGCACAATTTAAGCACAGCTTTGCTATATAATTTTGAAAATTTCGCTGTGAATTACACTTCAGAAAATTGTATTTTACTTTGGTAAATCTCTCTCAGTAAAAAAATCTATTTCCTATTTCACCTTGTCAAATTCCAGACACTGATGAAAGTGAGATTTACATTTATCTGAGAAGTAAATCACCACACTTTGATTTTGGAATCCAAATGGTCTAGAGCTCCAGTTACTGAAAACTAAACTTTATAATTCATGTAGCCAATGATTTGCCTGTTTGCTGGTCACCGCAGGTGAAACAGATGCAAGAATTTAAAAGATGAAAACATGTTTTTGGTATGATGACCAGTAAGAGTCACTGCAAACAGAAACTGCTTTTATTTTTTCCATTCAAGCTTCACCAAATGGACTGTTGAAAACAAGCACACAAAAGAGCAAAAAGCAGCACACGTGATCAAACTTTTGTCTTAGTCACTGGTTTTCTTTAGGAAAATAATATGCACTTGAAATAACTTATAATACAAACATTCTCCAACTGTTTCTACTTTATTTAAATTAGCAATAGGGCCGGCAAGATAGCTCAGTGGACTAAGTGCCGGCTTAGGCAAGCACAGGGACCAGGGTTCGATCCTCTGCACCATACGCCATGCCGGCCCTGGCCCCATGTGTGCTGAGCCGGCTACGGAGACAAGGCGCGGTGGTGCATGCATGTAATTTCAGCACTGGGGAAGCTGAAAACTGAAGGATCACTATGAGTCCAAGCTGCATAGTGAGACCCTCTACGAAATACATTAAAAAATAAATTAGCAATAACAGATGCATTTAACAGCAGTAAAAGATGCATTTTTAATAGATACATTTATTCTCTTACCTTTATTCAAACAGAAATAACACAAAGTTATAAAAATCAAACCATTGTTTAAAAATCTGCAAAGTTTCTTTTACATAAGATTTTGGCATGTTAAGAAATCACAGAAAACTTGTATTTGCAAAGTAGATGAAAAATAGGATATGCTGTTTGAAAGAAAACTAGTAATTTCTTATCTAAATAATTTCAGCCAAATGAATAATATATTCATCCGGTAATAGCCTCTCTTTAAGAATATAAAAAAAGTGCTCATATTACATTTAACAAAAATAAGGTAACTAAGAGCTCACAGAAACTGAAATAACTTAGTATAGATGACAGCCCGGGGAATCAAGATTACATCTTTGCTCCCAAGGCATGAAGGCAGGTTTGAATTTATTCAAATTAGAAGGAAAATAAAACACTATGTTTGCAAATGTAAAGCGTCCTGCCTTGAAAAGATATAAACTGTCTTTGTAAGGTTCTTATGTGTTTTGCTTTAGATGAAAGCCATTCCTATGAAATCAGGTGTCTCAGCTAGACAGCTCATCTCACACTCACACACACACACACACAGAAATCCTGGCATAGTGGTACATACCCAACCACTGAGAAGGTTGAGGCAGAGGATCACAGGGAGTTTTTGGCCAGCCTGCACTATAGTGCAAGACCCTCTGCCCCTCCCCAGCAAAAAAGCAGATTGCTCGGCAACTGACAAAGCTGGGTGGCTTCTGGCGATTGTCCTTCTCTAGCCTCACCAGCATTCACATTCAGTGAGGGCTTCAAGGAACAAGTAAGTGTCTCTGAGGACACCTGGACTACTAGGACCAATAAACTATTCTTAAGAAAACTTGCCCATGAACAAGCAATTGAGTGGAGGAATCTCCCCACCCAAGTCACCAGGTGGCAGGGACTGCCCCTCAGCATACTGCCGAGATGGTCATTTTCCCCTGAAGGCATCCAAAACTGAATTCTACGGGAAGAAACTAGAGCTGTGCTAAGGTACTAGATGCAGCGTTCCTCTCCTCTCCATCTTTACAAGCATGCTTCTAGAGCCAATGACGAAGGTAAACGCCAGATGAAATGCAGCTGACATCAACGCAGACACCCAATGTCCAGTGCTGAGCACACACTCTGTCCTAGCATTATCTTAACAATATTGAGTGTATTTACCACTGTATCTACAATCTCAATTTGAGATTTGTCAAATTTCAGATATATCCACAACTTATTATTATTGGGGAAACAAAATAACAGAATGCACAGCATAATCTTACTTACATTAGAATTGTGAGGTGTATCATTAGTAGCTCTCTTTTTATTCTTTTATTTATTTTGGTACTATGAAATTGAACTCAGGACCACTGTGCTTACCAGGTAGGCACTTAAGCCACTGAGATATCTCCCCAGCCCTCTTTTTATTCTGGGATGGCATGACTGCTGCTTACTTTCTTAATATTTTAATTGCTTACAGTATTATTTTCATGAACAAAATCATCAAGTGAAGCCATTTTCAGGGGAAAAGGAAAAAGAAAGTCATACAGATTCTGGAGTTAGTTCCAAGTTAGCCTCTTAAATACTCTTGAGAGACAACTTTGTGGATCAAAATGATGGAAGACACAATCTTTGCAATAAGAGAAAATGTTTTTCTTCAGTCTTGCATCTCCAGTTACCAAAGCGCCACATGGCAGGGGTCTCGTTCTCTCATGGAATGAACATGCAGTTTACACTGTTTAATTTACTGATGCTTCACTTTTTAAATCTTTGTTTTATGATCCTTCCAGGTATTCTAACAAAGGGAAGGTTATTGTTTTGATGACATTTAGAGCCTTTTGGAAAAAAGTTTAAAATAAGTAGTGATATTCACAGCACTGAGTTTTATAACACGGCTTTTAAGAAGATGAATCAATAGAAGATGTAAGAACGGGAGAAACAGGGACCACAATGAAGCAGGTGGCCAAGCAGATGGCAGCAGAAGGTACATGTGAGGAAAAGTACACAGGAGGACAGCCCGCCTTCTCTGCTCTTCATCCTGCTCCCAACACAGCTGGGCCGTGACTAAGCACTGCTGTGACTGGCTCTCCATATATCAGCCAGGGTCTGCAGGCATTCAGAGGGCATCTGCTGATCACAGGAAGGCTCCACACAGGGAGAGACGGATAGGGGCACAGAGGCAGAGAGGGGCCTGGCTTTGCTTCCTGTAACAAAGGGCAGCACCTATTCTCTGACAATCAAAAAGCCGGAGAAGGATGTCCTAACTGCTGCCCTGGGTCCGAGTGACTCCCACTGACTTCAATGTGACCATGGCACAGCTACAAAGGCAGGGACATACTAATTTGTTTTCATCAGTAACCACAGACAAGTGTCCTGCGTTCTAAGGAATGAAAAATTGGTGCCTATGTCTTTTGGATGGGCCGTATTTAATATTTTATTTAAAATATTTCTTAGATGCTTAGAAATACAGCAAATAGTAGATTACTGGAGTATTTACACACTTTATTGCCCAAACTGAGAAATTTCTGAAAGTAAATGGCAGCACTAACAGCAATGACTCTAGGGAAAAAATGATGCCAAAAAGACAGGCATGAACAGGACCTCTTAGACAAATGGACACCTACTACAAACACGAGAGCTCTTGGTTTCCTGTGCATTTTTTTTTTTTTTTTCAAATTCTGTATTAAGCTACACAGTGTAACATTTGGCAGTAATTTAATACTGAACACTAGGAGACAGCCTAGGTTTGCTCACTGGTGAAGATGTATTTCCTCAATGATGAAACGTACTTTCCACCTTCTTCCTGTACTCAAAGGGTCAAAGGGTCCCAGGATAAGCCACTGTCTTCGTGGATCTGAAGGAAGTCTGCATGAATTTCTCTAACAGAACAAAAATAGCATGACTGTGATTAAATTATTTATCCAATCTTAATTTTCTTTCCAAAATGTTAACTAGAGAAGCCTAGTGTATTTTGCTCTACAAACGTTCAAACAAACCCCAATTACAACCTACATGTCATAATATATATTTAAAGTCTTTATATTAACCATAAGAATCTCACAAATATACTGCCACAAAATATTTTAGAAAAGCTGTACGACAGTGAAACTGAGACAGTCTACTCTGAGGGGGGCTACAGCCTCTCCCTGGGTGCGGGGCTCGAAACCCCAGAGGCCGGGCGGGCTCAGGCCCTGAAGAGCAGCATCCTCTCAGAGCACACCTGCCCCACCAGGCTGGCGTACTGCACCACCGTCGCCTCCTCGCTCGGGTCTTTTCGGTGTTTCTTGTAAACGCCATAAGGCATGATGGCTTTCTTGTGGAACACCCGCACTCGGTCAGGTTCCTTACTGCGACCTTGATCCACTGCAACGAGAAAACATGCTGATCAAAATTAGTTTTGTATGAAACTGCTTTTCATTTCCAAATTTAAAAATATTCAACTTGAAATATAATCATATATCAAGAGATTCTTGCTAGCATGTTCAAGTGAGGGTATGCAGCATTAATGTCCAGACTGACATATGTTAATTAAAAACAAATACCTTTTTGAGCAGAAATAACTACACTGAATGTAGTATGGTAGGTGAATTTCAAGACAATGAATTAGGAGCAACTGAAAAGCTGGGCTTGTATTCCTTTATGATTTTCGGAAACGCGATGAAAGTTACAATCTTCAGCACCTTTCCAGAGTTTAATTTAAATCTGCTTTGCGCTTCCTATACCAACACACTGTCAGGAGTTTTACGTCTGCAAGCAGCTTTCTGGGGACTCCGCAGCCATAACCACGGGGCAGGGCAGCGGGTGCTCCTGTTCTCCACGGGACAGGAGCCTCTCACAGCATCTTTAAGGAACAGTGAGGACACGGGGGCTGCTATTACTGGTTGTCCTTTTCTTCCATACAAAAGAACCCTGGTTTCAGGGCTGGGGAGATGGTTCAGTAGAATAAGCGCTTCCCTGGCAAGCGCAAGGGCCTGAGTTCAACTCCCAGTTGGGGGGGGGGGGGAAGGGGAAGTACCCTGGTTTCTATAAGGGCACTTACGTTTCTCAAAAAGCCTGTTCTTTGGAGCCAAGGAGATGGCTCAGTGGAATAAGCGCTTTCCTGGCACATGCAAGGGCCTGAGTTCAATCCCTGGTTCAGCAAAAAAAAAAAGCCTGTTCCCCAGCCTTCCTTATAGGTGGGTGTGGCTTCCTGACCAAACATGGCCAATGCAACACAAATGGAAGTGTTTCGTGAGTTTCTAGGAATCTTTCAAAAGGAACAGCTGACCTATGCCTTCTGAGTTTAATTTTTTAACCTTTCTGCAGCCTGCAGCCTGGAATATGCATGTGACGGCAGGAGCACTTACTGTACCTTGGAGCTAGCAGCTAAGAACGCATGCTTGGTTCAGCAAGCAAAAGACTCGATAGAACAATCAGGGTGGGGTCTCTACAACTGAAAGCTGGTGGCTTAATAAGAAGAGACACTCCAAGTACACAAACACCTACTTTGTATCTCTTCAGGCCTCACAATTCTACCAGCAGAAAGGCCATCCTGAGTTGTGGCCTGTCTACTGACCTTGGACATTCAGAATTGTGAGCCAAAATAAACCTCTTTTCTTCATAACTTATCTAGTCTGTGCCATCTTATATTAGTAACAAAAAATAATAATACACCAGGTTAAGTGACAAAATTCAAGGCAGCATCCTGTTTGCTGCTTTCAATTCCAGACATCTTAATGTACACACAGTGCTATCTGTCACCTGGCTTTAAGTATCTCCCGCATAAAAAAGGCAAATTTGAGCATTTTTTTTTTTTTAGCATATTTAGGATCTAATTCAAATAAAAAAGTAGCCAGGCATCAGTGGTACAGGTCTGTAATCCCAGTACTTAGCAGGCTGAAGTAGGAGGACTGCAGGGAGTTTGAGGCCAGCCTGGGTTACAGAGTGAGACCCTGTCTCAAAAACCCCACAGAACAGAACAGAAAAATTTATTTTAAATAAACAGAAAAGTAAAGATCACTGCTAATAGCAAGGGAAAGAAGTAGAACATTGGTAAAGTGATCCCAAAATGATTCTTATCTCTTTTTTTTTTTTTTCTGTACTGGGGATTGAACTCAGGACCCTGCACTTGCCAGGCAGGTGCTCATTCTACTGAGCTATCTCCCCAGCCCTAGTAGTTTAATATATTAAGCCAGGAAGGTACATCAATAAACTATTAACAAAAACAAATGAAAGAAGCCTGTCTTCTCCCTATTTAACAAACAAACAAACAAACAAACAAACAAAAAACCCCACTCAAATGTGGAATTCTGCTTACTCAAAAAGGCCAAAGCCAAAGATACTAATCTACAACTGCTAATGCTTTAGAAAAAGGGAATGCAGAATAACAAGACACACAGTAACAGAAATAAAGGAGGATAAGCTGCATTTTAAAAAATTGCTATTTCAGGGGTCAGGGAGATAGATAGTAGAATAAGCACTTCCCTGGCAAGCACAAGGGCCTGAGTTCAATCCCTGGTTCCACCAAAAAAATAAATAAATAAAATTGGTATTTCAATAAGTTAAATCAAAAATTATCTAGAACTAGTCATAATTGAATTAACTGAATTAAATTAAAAAATAGTAATAGTTACATTTTTTTTTTTTCGGAACCACGGATAGAACTCAGGCCCTTGCGCTTGCCAGGGAAGCACTTATTCCACTGAGCCATCTCCCCAGCTCCTACCTTTTACATCTTTTAAAATAATAAAAGTGATGCCTATTGTAAAACTCGAACATCAGAAATACAGAAAACCGAATCTCATCAACCTCCCTATGTAATCCTTGTTTCTACATTTTACAACTAGCCTCACCGAACTTACCAGGTTTTAACAGTTTCAAAAGATATATTTAAATATTCAAAGACAGCTTTGGATCACATTCTAGCTATACTTAAAGCAGAAAATTATCTTGTCAGTGGGTATTAATTAGTAACTTCAGAGACCATTAATTATCATCATAAACTTAAACACATTTCTGTTTGGGGGCTCAAAGTCTATGCTTTATGATGAGTTAGTTGCATTCTCAAGGAAGGTTGATGCTCATTCTTAGTATTTAACATAATTTACATTAAAACTGCTAGAAAAAAATTCTACCAGTTACTGAAAATAAATTATTTACTAAAGAAAAATAAATCTCCAATTCTCATAAATTCCTTTAATAAACTTCATATATTGCTTTTTGATAAATGTCACCAGTTCTTATACGCAGAAAACTACACAGCTAAATCAAACAGCAGACCATTTCTTGAGGAACTTTGATGAGAGAGAAAAGCAAGCCATTCTGAGAAGAAAGACCATCGCTCTCTTGGCTAAAAGAAACCATCAGCTTACTGCGATGTCTTAGAAATGTGTTCCAACAAGAACTTCTTTCATTTCTCCTTACCTTAAGGTCTCACAACTTAATTTCATGAAATAAAAACCAAAGACAATCCAGCAAACTCTTTTTTGAGATGAGCATTTGATCACGAGTGATGCAAACATGCTGTCAACTCTATGATATTTTAATTTTAAGGAGAACTGTAGGAGGCAAGAAGTGCTTAAAACCCACCTTACAACACTACCAAAAACTTTTCATTTATAGAAGATGAGCTATGCAACACAGGTGCTTTCAGAGCAAAAGATTCCAGAGATTAAAGCTTTATTTCTTATGGGGATTTAGTTCATTTGCTATTCTTAAAAGAGACTTGAGAATTTTCAAGGCTTTTCCTAAAATGATTGAACAGTCTATTTTCTTAACTTCATTACTTACTGTTACATTTTATAAACATGAAAAATAAGTTACACGCTCTATAGTTGCTAATGAAGACAGCTGTACAAATGGTGGATGCAGCTAAATAGACTGTAATTGGGCAAAACTGATATATTGGGAAGAAATGTGAACAAAAGTATGACAGAGAGAAATACTTAACTAGTAACTTTGAAATTCAGAGTCGAATATGACAGAATCTTTCACAGTGACATGAGATATGAGCAAGGGTTTTAATCCTTCTGGGGGAGAAAGAGGGGTAGCAGGTTTGTCAGAGGGACAAAGGGGGTGTGTCACGATGCAATGAACAGGACCATCACATTAGAAGAGTAATTTAGGGCTGGCCAGAGAGCTCAGCGGATTAAAGCACCTGCTTAGGCAGACACAGGGACTGTTGTTCTATCCCCAGCATGCAGTGGTGGTCCCGCCTCCAGGGCGCCCTGAGACAGTGATTGAGACTGGGCATGGTGTTGCTCGCCTGTAAACCCAGTGTTTGGGAGACTAAAAATAGGTGAATCACTACGAGTCCAATCTGTGTAGGGAGACCCTGTACTACATACACATTAAAAAACCAAACCAAAACAAAACAAGAATAACTAAGTTCAACCAGCTTCTTCAACCTTGTCTGGTGGGAGGTTCAAACATTGCTTTGAGAATCCATCCTGGAACATTTTCACATTCTATAAAGACTATTATTGTTAGCAACTGAGCTGAGAATATTTTTATACAAAAATAACTTAAGACAAATGTAAGTTTCTTTGTAAAATGTCACTACTTTATTGAGATATGCCATCACACAATTCATCCATTCTAAGTACATGGATAGATGGTTTCTAGCATGTTTACAGAGACATGTACATGAACCACATCAAAGTTAAATCACTCTCCTTATCTGGGAAATAGACACCTGCCCAATAGCAGTCAACATAGTAAAGAACTACCACCCACTGCTCCCAAGCGCTGCACCACTTTACACTGCCCAGCAGCGGCCCCAGTTCTACTTTCTCTGTATCCTCATTAACACCGATTATTATCTGTGGTTTTACTACTGCTATCCTAGCAGGCATAGAAACAGTGTCTATGGTTTCGAGATTTGCACTTCTCATGGCTTATGATACTGAGCACAGTTTCTGCTTTTATTGGCCATTCCTTTATCTTCCTCAATGAGTATCTATTCAAATCATTTGTCCATTTTTACATTCTGCTTTTTCTTGAATTTTAAGAGTTTTTCATATATTCTGAATAGTAGATAAGGATAAGATGTATTAATTACAAATCCACTCTCCTGTTTGAACTGTCTTTTCTTTTTTTCTTTTTGTATTTTAGGGAAGGGTCTACAGGGTGTTCAGGGTCTTGCTCCTAGATTAGAGTTGTAGTGATCTGCCTGTTTACAGCCTCCCAAGAGCTAGAATTACAGGGATGTGCCACCACGCCCAGTCTCAATCACTTTCTCAGTGCACCCTGGGGGCAGGCCCGGGGATTGAACCCTGGCCCCTGTACCTGTTTGTAGGTGCTTTAATCCACTGAGCTATTTGGCTGGCCCTTCTTTTCACTTTGTTGATGGTTCTTTGTAAGTACTAAAGTTCTTAAATTTGATG